GTGATGGGCTTTATGGGTAATGGTATTAGTCTATTATATGTCTACTAACTGGCCTACCTTAAGTTTGTCAGGAAAATGACTAAATAAGCAAATCTCTGCTCTACACAAAAAGAAAAAGATAAGGAGGCCTCAAAAAATTCATCAAAAAATGCAATTAAAAGAGCTGGCAGCCAGGAGGCAGACTTGCAGAATGTGCCCTTTGGTGGTGTAAATTATTATATAGGTGTGAGTGTTTAAGAAAAAAAAAAAGCTAAAATGAATAGAAAGAAATACTGTTAACTGATGGATGGGATTATAATCATTGTAATGAAACAAAGTATATGATTTGTTGAATGTAAAACTGATGATCTGCCCTGTAAACTTTCACTCAATTCATAATAAAAACTTTAGACTCAGAAAAAAAAGAAAAAAAAAAAAGATAATGGGAACTTTTTGAAACTCCCTCATGCATTCATCCCGTCCTTGAATGGGGCAACAAACCAAAGGACAGATGAGTCGCAGAGCTAATTCAAAGTCATCATCTTGTGTGCTTGTCTCTAAATCATACCTGGTCTCAGCTCTCCCTAGTGCACCAATCCATAAACTAAAAGCAAAAGTCATCTAAGCTCCCTCTACCTAACACGTGCAATTGGCCAGGGCCACCACAGTCTCCAGTCGCTTTGTTGTTTATTTTCATTATATAAATTAACCAATTTCTATAATGGTAAATAACAGGCTAGAGAGGTTTCAAATGATGGAACTTCTGCTGATCTTTCAATTCCTTCAGTTTTCGGATGGTGGACTTTTTGGTGACTTCAGAGGTGGTGCTGTAGGTCCAGACAACACCAGCCACTGTTTTCGTGGAGGAACCACAGTGCCAGATTCCCATAGTTCACCACTTCATTTTGGTGTTGCCGCAGAAGGAGCAAGTATATTTAGCATTTTGGCTGATTTCAATTTTCTTCACCATTTTCCTGAGGGAGGCACCATAATTGGCCACATATTTACCCACAATTCTGACCTCCTTGGTTTTAGTCATCTCGCTACAACATAGCACCAAGCCCAGAGAACTTGCTTCATTGTTGTTAAGTGCCCTGTCGTCAGTTCCAACACCCTGTATAGGTTTATTGAGGAGTGGCTGGTGAGTTTGCACTACTGACCTTGTGGTTCAAACTGACCTGTGATCCAGTGATTCTCCAACAGCACCACACCTGGACTCTAGTCGCTCATCTGCAGCAATTCTGGAACCCTCTGAACCAATCATGCAGAGTCTTGTCTCCAGGATGGGGAGTCCTCTTTGTGAAGGCTCCAGTTCTGGTCTCAAGTTGGCTCCTTGCCTCTGCTGTATGTGCCAGTGCCCTCCACCCTTCCCTCTCTCTTTCTCTCTCGATCCCACCTTCCTTTGCTTCCCCTCTCTCCTTTTCTCCTCCCTTCCACACTTCCTTCCTTTCTGTCAATTTTACTCTCCCTCTCTGAAGTTAGTGGGCAGTGGTGTCCTGGCAGTGCAGTGGCTAAGTACTTGGCTGATAGCTGAATGGCCAGTAGTTCAAACCCACCAAACTCTCTGCAGGAGAAACAGTTTGTTTCCCTAACTATTTAGAACACATATGTAGCAGTTCTAGTGTTTCATTATGAGTCAGAGTTAACTCAGTAGGAATGGGGTTTATGTGCTTCATTGGTCCATTTTATACCTACCATGGTTTGAGTCCTGACCAATGCACCTTGTATGCAGCCACCATGCATCTATCCAGGGAAGCTTGCATATTGCTATGACGCTGAACAGACTTCAGCCAGGAGGTTTACTTCTGAAAATCAGCCAATGAAAACCCTGTGGTTTGTAATGAACTGAGCATGCTCACAGTGAAGGACTGAGCAGTGTTTTGTTCATTGTGCATGGGGTCATCATAAATGTGAGGCCAACTCAAAGCAGCTAAAAATGACAATTCTTAGACTAAGAGTAGGTGCCTTTAGCCTACCAGGTTTTATCCTAATTGTCACATTTAGTCTTTTTTTCCTTCAGTCACATCTGTGCAATGAAAGATTTTACAGAGTGACAGCTTAGCCCATTTAGCAACGGCTTAAGTATCTCTGCAAAGCTGACGTTTAGTAGGCTTTTGACACTCACAGTATTTCTTAATATTGCTACTTTGCTGACAGGGATAGGGACATCTGCCTCTTCCAGCACTACGACCTGCTTTCAAATTGACCAACTGAGATCATTCTTCTTGCAATAACTTACATAGTAGTCAGTTGAACACACTGAATAGTAACCAATACATGCCAGTTAACATTCTTCATCCAATCTCAACACAAAGAGTAACAAGACACACCTTAGACAAATGCCCTGTCTTCCAAGTTATTACAGGTAAGTTTACCACACAGTTCACCCACGCTTAACACATGCCAATATGCTCCCAACCTCCAATCCCATACGACTATTTCTTGAGTCAACAACAAGGAACCCTGTGATAAAAGTTGTTAAAAGCTCTGGTGTTAACCAAAAATCTGGTAGTTTGAACTTACCAGCCACTTCATGAGAGAAAGATGTGACCATCTGCTTCCCTAAAGATTAAAACCTTAAGAACCCTGTGGAGTAGGTTTGTTGAATCAGAACTGACTTGATAGCAGTGTGGTTTTGGTTTACGTGGTTTTGTCTCAGCACTCTTTAAAACACATTTTTGTATCTGTCAGCAAATGCTGGGGTATACTGCAAGGAATGATAACTCTCACTTGCTCGCAGACCCTCCGGCTCTGTTTGCCCATTGGTACGGAGCCTGGAGCCTGCCATTGAGAGGCCGGTGCACGTGTGCTGGAAGGTAGTGAGGAGTCAGAAGCCATTATTCTCCAGAGATGAGATTTCAGGCAGACCTTCCTGGAGAATGAGGTTGGTGGTTACACATCAGACTGCTAACTTCAGGGTCAGCAGTTTGAAACTACCAGCTGTTCCACAGGACAAAGATAAGGCTTTCTGCTCCTGTAAAGATTTATAGCCTCAGAAACTCTATACAGGGTGTTTGTGAGTTGGAACCGACTCCATGGTACATAACCACCACCACCACACACCTACTGGGAGTCCTGTTGTGGCATTATAGGCTAATGCGCTGGACTATAAACCCAAGGTCGGCAGTTCAGGCTCATCAGCTGCTCCTCAGAAACCCTATGCAGGGTCACTATGGGTCAGAGCCGATTCAATGACATGTAACAACAACAATAAATCTTTAGGAGTCCTGGTGTGTCACTGTGAGTTAATACACTAGATTTCAAGGTCTGTTTGAACCACAAGGTCAGTGGTTGAAGTCCATCAGTCACTCAGAAACTCTAAACAGGGTTACTATGGGTCGGAACTAACTTGACAGTACTTAACAACAATACATTTACTATAGCAGCACAGCCTCCCCAAGGCCCTGGGAGGGCTCCCATGCAAACCTGCTTTAACTCTGCTCCTCTGGCATCATCGTCCTCCTCACTCAATCTTTGCACAAACCTTAGAATCCCTGTACTACAGATACTTCTACTGTGAATACTAGGCAGATATTGCTGTTTATAACTGGAACTCTACCTGATGCAGCAGCCTTATTTTTATGCATAGTATATAGGACTATGGAGTCCTGGTGTGGCGCTGTGAGAGAATGCACCAGACTGCAAAGTCATTTGAACTGCAAGGTCGGTGTTTCAAGCTCACCAGCTGTTCCTTGGAAACCCTATACAGGGTTGCTATGAGTCAGAGCTGACTCGACGGCACTTCACAACATAGCGGACTATCAGATGTACTGCAGGTTTCACCTTAACTATTTCTTTAGTGCCCATCCTCCTGACTAGGATGTAAATTTCCCAAGGTCAGGGGTTGTGCTGATTGGCACAGTGCTGGGTATCCAATGTCTCCAATACCCTGTATCTTCAGTACACCAAATCAGTGATGAGAAAATGGATACGGTAATCAAAAGTGGAAGCCAGTCAGCTAAACTTCTATCTCAGAAAGTTTCTAAACCAAATATTCTATAGAAAGGATAAATACTGGATTTGGTTGAGAATAACTGAACTCATACTCACAAAATAGAAAACTTAAAAATCTAAGACATAACAGAAACTATGGAAGACCTAAAATCCCAAATAGCCTCTTAATCCTGTGAATCTGATGATGTCCCTACAGATTGTGATGGCAGGAATGGCGTTTGTGGTGTCTAGTCTAGATTCAGATCTCTAGTCCAATGTGACATCAGTCCCATCCTAGCATCCAGTGGTCATGCCACAGAGGTTCTTCCTCTGAAGGGCGAGTACTGGAAACTTTCCTAACCTCAGAATTTGCCTCCATAACTGAGTCCTTCAGACTTCCTCTGTAGTTGTTTGTTGTAGCCTGTTTATTTCTCCTTTTGGGGGTGGTAAGGAGGGAGAGAAGAGAATTATGTTGTTTGAGGATGCTCATGACTAGAAAATAAAATAGTTATTATCACACAAGCTAATGTTTTTGGACTACTTACTCTATGCCAGTCATTCTCCTTTGTCTTTGCAACACTTTAGAAGGTGAGTACTACTAGATTTTTAAAGTACTGAGGCTACCAAAGTTTGGATGTGTGAATGCAAGGTCTACAACTACATTTTCAGTTATATTTTTCTGTGTTTCCAGTGAGTTCCTCAAGTGCTTTTTACTGCAATTTAAGATTTACAAAGCATTTCTAAATATGTTATCATACTATTGGAATCCTGGTGTGTCGCTGTAGGATAAACAATGGACAGCTAATCACACAGCCCGTAATTCAAACCCACCAAATGCTCCTCAGAAACTCTATACAAGGTAGCTATGAGTCAGAACCAACTCCACAGTACTTAACAACAACAATCACAGTACCACTAATATCAACATCTGTCTAATGTCTCCCATGATAAGCGAAGCATGGTGTTAAGTACTCAAGTAAATGTGAGCAGGGAAATGTTTATGTGAAGGAAAACCAACTCTTGATAAAGAATCAAAGCAGCTAGGAAATTCATTAATAGACCTGCCTTCTCCTTGTGATTTATTTCAGGAATATCAAATTGATATATTTTTTGCTCAGACCTGGACAGATAGCCGTCTTCGATTCAACAGTACAATGAAAATCATTACCCTGAATAGCAACATGGTGGGGCTGATATGGATCCCAGATACTATCTTCCGCAATTCGAAGACTGCAGAGGCCCACTGGATCACCACACCCAACCAGCTTCTCAGAATATGGAATGATGGGAAAATCCTTTACACTTTAAGGTAAGATACTATGTGTAACTTTAATTACTCACAGTTTAATTTTGGGTTCTAGATTTAGAACACTATAGGGATGATTTCATCATTAAAACATACTATAACACAACCTGAAAAACATGCTTCTAATATCAGATGCATAAACATTAAGGAATGCAAATTATCTATAACTGATATAAATTCATTCATTCATCAGAATCTATCTCTTCTGAAAGTAGTCTGTACCAATGATCTTTATTAATGTTATTGCTAGCAGTTGTTCTGATTCATAGCCACCCTATGCACAACAAAACAAAATACAGCCCTACCTGTGCTAGTCTCACAATGGTTACTATACTTGAACCCATTGTAACTGCCACTGTGCCAATACATCTTGTTGGGGGTCTTCCTGGTTTTTGCTGACTCTCCACTTTGCCAAGCATGATGCCCTTCTCCAGAAACTCTGGTCTCTCCTGATAACATTTCTGAAGTATGAGAGATGCAATCTCACCATCTAGGTTTCAAAGGAGCATCTGGCTGTGTTTCTTTTAATACACATTTATTTGTTTTCCTGACAGTCCATGGTAGTTTCAACATTCTTCTCCAGCACTAGAACTCAAATACATTAGCTCTTTGGTCTTCCTTATTCACTGACAAACTTTCTCAAGCCTATTAGACTTTGAAGATATCATGGCTTGGGTCAGGTACACCTTGGTCCTTAAACTGATGTCTTTGCTTTTGAACACTTTAAAGAGGTCTTGTGCATCGGATTTGTTAATGCAGTATTTTGCTTGATTTCTTGACTCCTGCTTCCATGAGTGTGGATTGTGGATATGATAAATTGAAGTATTTGAAAACTCCAGGTGTTGCTCTGTAGGATCAGCACTGGACTGTGAACTACAAGGTTGGCAGTTCAAACCCACCAGGCTGCTCCTCAGAAGCCCTATACAGGGTTGCTATGAGTCAGAAACGACTCGACGGCACTTAACATCATGATGTTATTTATTGGTTTAGTTGTGAGGGGTTTCCTTTTCGTTTCATTTATGTGTAACCCATACTAAAGTCTGTAGTCTTTGATCTTTATTCTTCATTAGTAAATATTTTATGTTCTCTTAACTTCCACAGAGCAAGGTTGTTTCATCTGCATATCACAGGTTGTTAATGAGTCTTCCTCCAATGTTGATGCCACATACTTTGTCATATAATATTTCCTCAGATTATTTGCTCATCATACAGATTGGATAACTTATAGTGAAATAATACAACCCTGGCACACTGCTTTCTTGATATTAAACCACTCAGTATCCCTGTGTTCCATTCAAAGGATTGCCTCTTGGTCTATGTACAGATTCCTCATGAAATGAGCAAAGTGTGGAATGCTGATTCTTCAAAATGTTATCCATAGATTGTCGTGGCCCACACAGTTGAAAGCCTTTGCATAGTCAATAAAACACAAGTAAACATATTTCTGGTATTCTCTGCTTTCATCCAAGGTCCATCTGAAAGTTAGCAATGATATCCCTTATCCCATGTACTTTTCTGAATACAGCTTGAATTTCTGGTAGTTACCTGGCGATGTTGCAGTCATTTTTAAATTACCTGTAGCAAAATTTTATTTTCATGTGCTATTAATGATATTGTTTGATGATTTCCGTATTCCACTGGGTCACCTCTCTTTGGAATTGGTACAAATTGGATCTCTTCCAAGCTGTTGGCCAGGTAGCTACCTTCGGAATTTCTTGGCATAGATGAGTGAGTTCCTCAAGTGCTTCATCAGTTTATTGAAAGATTTTAATCTGTATTCCATCAATTCCTGAAATCTTGTTTTTCTTCCAATGCCTTCAGTGCAGCTTTGGCTTCTTTCTTCAGTACCATTGGCTCTTTATCGCTCGCTACTTCTTTACATGGTTATATACATTTAACCATTTATGGATTCAGTGACTCTGTGCATTCATCTTTTTTTCCCTTTAATCTTCTTTTGATTCTTTCTGCATCATTCAATATTTTGCCCATAGAATCCTTCAATATTATAAAGTCAATGCTTAAATTTTTTAAGTTCTTTCAACTTGAGAAATGCTAATCATTTTCTTGCCATTTCTTTTTCTAACTCGAGGGATATGCAGATTTCATTATAATACTTGACTTTGTCTTCTCTACCTGTCCTTTAAAGGAGCTCTGGTAGCAAAGTGGTTACAAATCGGGCTGCGAACCTTAAGGCCAGCAGTTCAAAACTACCAGCTGCTCCGCTGGAGAAAGATGAAGCGTTCTGCTCCCGTAAAGATTGACAGTCTCAGAAACCCTGTACAGGGTCATTATGAGTCAGAACCAACTCAACAGTAGTTAACAACAACAACAAACCTGTCCTTTAAAGTTTTCTGATCAGTTCTCCATACTTTCTCCTAGTGGCTTTTGCATCTCTTTGCTGAAGAACTCCTGGTGTGATGTTATAGGATCAGCACAGCAAACCACAGGGTTAACAGTTCAAATCCACCAGTTACTCCTCGGAAACTCTATGGTGATAGTAATGTGCTGTGGAATTGGTTCCAACTCATAGAGAACCTGTATAGGATTTCCAAAGCTATAAATCTTTATGGGAGCAGAAAGTCTTATCTTTCTCCCAAGGAACCACTGGTAGTTTTGAACCGACCATGAAATTAGCAGCCCAACTCGTAATCACTACACTACCAGAGCACCTTTGAAAACCCTATACAAGATCGCAATGAATCAGAACTAACTTGACTGCACGTGACAACATCAATGCTGGAGAACAAGTTTGAGAGTGTCTTCTGACTTCCATTTTGACCTTCTCTTTCTTTCCTTTTTTTTTTTTTTTTTTTTTTGCTGAAAAGTGTATTTATTATATAAATGTGAATTCTATAGTGACTTATTAAAGTATTAACATGAGCTGATACCCTGTTAACAATTAGGAAACAAACAAAACTTTTCACATTACTTTCAAAATCTCAGCATCATTTCTTATTTGCTTGAAGAACTATATACCTCAATATTTCCTTTCATCTCCATTCATATGTCTTTTATATTTGGTTGTTTGCCACACTTGTTTTAACAAGAACTTGATAATATAACAAGATTGGGTTAATTTCTGCATAAATTTTCCACATAGGTTTGTTGCATTTTTAGCTAGAATTCTCCCAAGTTCTGTGGAACCAGTCGTCTTGCCATATGTACTTTGGTTGTCAAACAGGACACTTAGCAAGAGAATGGAGGTTAATAAATCAATACCTATGTATCTGTAATCTTCAAAATAGAAGATATTTGTTAGATATTATAAAGATGAAGGTATAAAGAGTAGAAAGAACACTAGACTAGGTATTTTGTAGATCATAAACCTAGCTAACCTTGATAGATCTTCCAATTAAGTAACATCTAAGATTTCCATTCATTCTAATTCTAGCTCACTGTGTTCCTCCCATAGGCCTTCTTTCCATCCTTTGATAATTCAGAGTTCTTGGAGTGTTTATTCCATTTCCCAGTCACCACTCACTCAAGTCTCAGAGTGCCCCCTTAGAGGAAAAAATTTGAATACTTATCTGCAGTGATTAGCACAGTCATATTTACTCTTATTACGTGTGTAAGTGTCTGAAATGAACTTCAACCTTCACTTAGGATTGGTTCAACTAAAGTCTATCTCATGTCAGTAGAAGCTAAGCTTTCGGAGGGTGGTGTTGTTGTTAAGCGCCATTGAGTCAGTTCTGACTCATAGTGACCCTGTATAGGGTTTCTGAGGCTATAAATCTTTATGGGAGCAGAAAGCCTCATCTTTCTCCCGTGGAACTGCTGGTAGTTTCGAACTGCTGACCATGAGGCTAGCAGCCCAACTCATAACCACTAGGTAGAGCTGAATAATAGAAGCTTCACTGTGGGTAGTCAATACTTACTTGTTGAATAAATAATTATGACATTATTAACTTACAACATGTTTAGAGAATCAAACAGTGACAAAAATTCCTCTCATTTCTATATTTTTAGAATACAAACTCAGTTTTATCTGTCATGTATGAAGGAAGGCTGGCATGCCTGTTAAAACACTAGCTTATATAGAGGAAGTGGGTTTTTTCAAGATCACACTGATAGTACATAAATAGTGAAGCTGGAATGGGTGTTCAGAACTTAAACATACAATGGGCCTTTTACTGCAGTAAATAGACATGAGCACTTTATGTCCTTGATACTTAACTTTGTTTCACAATCTTAGAACATTGGATATGTTGGCGGAACTATATGGAGCATGATTTATTGTTGTACTGATCGACGATGCAGAATTGAGAATGGAAGCAGTCAATACCCAGTGGTATCAGGGGTTTAGTCAGATTGGAAGACGTTGCTACAGAAAGGATGCAGTACTTCTTAGGAGTTGGTATGAGGTCTTATGCACAATCAGTAAGGTATGTTGGTGATACTGGACACTTGTAGGAATCTCTGAAAGATGGTATTTAGTCACCCTTTGTTATTAATGCTGGTATCCACATGGACTGGTGTTTGTATTGTGAGGTTCATTTCTGGGGAGTCTTGAAATAATAGTGTAACTTGCTGATACTGGGCAGGTATGAAACTAGATATTCTGTCTTCTTGTAGGGAAGCATTGTAAAAAAAAAAAAAAAAAAAGGTGTTTCATTTTCCTTGCTATAGTTAATTGTATTGATGTGGTGTTCTGGAATATGTCATCCTTACATGAAGTTAGCATATTGAAAATTCAGTCACTGGTATTTGCAGAAGCAGCAGTAGGTATGTGACTTAGAAGTTGGCGGTGGATTTGATCCTGATGGAGTGACTGCAGTCGTAGAAGTTGGTGGTGGATTTGATTCTGGTGGTGACTGGCATAAACCTAGGAAGACCTGTTGATGTCTGTAAGGTTAGGAAGGTGACATCAGACAACAGCTTATCAATCTTTATATTCAAAGATTTTAAGCTTACGTTAAGAGCTGGGACAATAGCTATAATGTTATCAAAGTCTTCTTTAATATCACTTCTAATATTTCTAATTTGATGGTCTTTGGAGACATCAG